GGCAGAAAACTCTGGTTTTATGGAAAACTAAGTAACTTCATTGGTTCAATTTGTAATCTTGTTCCCTAATCCTGCCAATCATAATTTTGTAAATTTCTGTTTTTGAGGGATTTTTTTTAAGTTTAAGGGGTTTAAATGAGGCATAGGGAGGTCTGTAGCCTCAGGGAGGGTCAGTTTGGCCCAGAGCCTGCTTTTAAAAACTCTGCTGTTTCACTTCTGGCCCCTTGTAAGCATTTAAATCCCTTGTAGGGATTTAGCACTGTGTGCTCTTTTCTTCCTCTTGCTGCTTTTCTCCTAGTTCTGCTATATTGCTTTTATAGGTGCATGAACTGGAAGGAGAAGAATAGCAGAGCACTCAAGGAATTATATTTTTAGGGGAGAGCAGAGCACTCAAGGGGAGATATTTTTAGCCAGACTGGAAGTTTAAGTGCTGGAAAGGAAATACACAGTGAACAAGCCCTGTGAATACTTAACTTAGTCTAGCATGAGCTGCTGCTTCTTTTTGTCATGAAGATCTACTTCTATCTCAGGGTGCCTCTTCTGATCAATGCTGTGACTTTTAATTATTTATCCAACTGTGGGTGAAAACTTGCAATATATATATGTTTTCAAGGGGCAGTGGGTTTAAATATAAACAGGAGAAGTTCAGGTTAGGTATTAGGAAGAAGTTCTTTACTGTGAGGGTGGTGAGGCACTGGCACAGGTTGCCCAGGGAAGTTGTGAATGCTCCATCCCTGGCGGTGTTAAGTCCAGGTTGGACAGAGCCTTGGGTGACATGGTTGAGTGTGAGGTGTCCCTGCCTATGGCAGGGGGGTTGGAACTAAATGATCTTAAGGTCTTTTCCCACCGAAACCCTTCTATGATTCTGTAATTCATATGTGTATATATATGGGTTTTTTTAATATATGCAAGAGAGAATGTATTCTAAAACTGTTTCCTTCTTTCTGGCTTTTTCATAAGTGTTGATTAAACTGCATACTTTCTGCAGTATTGATTTCCCCCTCTTCCCAGATTATTGGTTTTATGGCAAATAATTTTATGTTTGTGGATTTTAAGATTTATTTTTTAATTCCCACCCAAGGGTGTATTATTGTGCACAGCTGTCCCTTCTTGGAATAGTTAATATCTACCTGAAATGTCAGTGTTTCTTCAGTCTGCTGCCTCTTCTATTTTCTTCCTTATTTGAAGCTTCCAGGAAGGAGGTGGGGGAGAGAGGGGGAGGTGTGGCAATATTGCTGCTAATATTTCTTTACTTCCCAGCTTTAGATGCATGCTTAAAATAGCATGACTCATCTAGTACATCCTTTGATCTCTTATGACTGATTTAAAGTGCTGCTTCCCAGCAAGGCACCAGGTGGTTTTACTTTTATTTGCAACTCTCCTCCGAGTTTCAAGTCCCAACTTTGAGAGAAAGTAAAAAAGAAAGAGAAAATAAATCAATCAACTTGGCTGAACATAGGGAGAATTCACCTTCAGCTGTTCTTGACAAGAGGTTTTGGATGACTGGTTTATATCAGAAAAAAGAGGGTTCCCTCTCCCCGTCCCCCATTTACTTTGATTGTATATTTGTTTTGGTGAATTTTTTTTGTCTTTTCTTTCTTCATTGCAAGCCTCTTCTTAGGGAATCTTTCCCATCCCTTGTCATATATAATTATTTACTGAGAGACTTAGCTGCATGAAAAGTGGGTAATGTGCTCTCATTCCCTGTGGTTTTTCAATTTTAATTCAATTTATTCTTCTCAATTTTGATGAAACAAGAAGTCTTAATCTTAACTGCACTTTAATCCAGCAGCTGGTTCCAGTTAGAAATCTGTAATCAAGGCTTACTTTAAAGAACAATATGAAACATAACAGAAATGTGGACATCAGTTCTGTTTAATGTGTGCGTATTCTTTCTTTTGCTTTAAATCTGAGAACTTTGTCTTTATTTCCTTTCATGTTTTGAATCCCTGAAACAGAAAAAAGTGATTATATACAATGTGAAGTAGTGCATCTAAGCTAATCTTATTCACGGAGATGAAGGATGCCAGTCCCAGCTCCTGAGATGTGGAAGGGGATCTTTCTGAGCTCTCAGTGACCTCAAGCTGGTAGCGCAGCTCTGCTTGCCTGCTTCCTTATCTGTAGACAGGATCTAATGCTCCTTGCCTTTCCTAACTCTGTTTTCCAGCTCATGACATGCTTGTCAGGCATGATTTCTTGTTGCTCAAAGGTAATAATTTACCATAGCCTCCTGTGAAATGTCGAATTCATTCTTTTCATTTCCTGTTGTGCTGAAGAGGTATATTCCTGCTGAGGGCTGAATCAGCATCTCAGAAACAATGGCGTGTCCCTCAGTATTCTCCAACACCCATCTCAAAATGGCTCATTGGTGCTTTATGGAATGAAGCATCTGGGCCCTCAAGCATTCAGGGTCTCTTTTCTACTTTCAAGATAAGCTTCATGAAAATAACTTTTCTGGACAGTGATGGCTGGCAAGGATGATGCAGATTTGTGTGCTGTGAGTTTTAGTATGGTGGAGAGAAAAGGACAACTGGGAGGGTGCAGTCTCCAACAAGAGCAAGAATGTCTGAAGCTTTGAGCTTTTTCTCATCAGCTTTCTCTTTGGCTTACCTTAGGGCTGGGCTTCAACATTGTTGGTGGGACAGATCAGCAGTACATTTCCAATGACAGCAGCATCTATGTCAGCCGGATCAAAAAGGATGGGGCAGCTTACCTTGATGGCCGATTACAAGAAGGAGATAAAATTTTATCGGTAAGCCCTTTCTTCTGTCGCCCCATGTGTTCTTGAAGTGCTGTGATCAGAGATGATCAGTGATGTGATATGAGATGTGGGTTTGCTATTGCAGTGCACAGAGAGGGAAGGTTTGATGAATACAGTTAGGTGATGCTCCTCTGTGGAGGAGCTATCTTGGGGGTCTGGATAGAACTTTGAACACTAGGGAGATGAGTGCCTCTACACATGGGCCCATCTCTTCTGCATTCTTGATTTGTCTCACTCCTTGGTGCTGCATTTATGTTTCCTCTGACTTGGTTCCCGGAAGTTTTAGATTCCATCAGACCTTCTCTTGCTCACAACAGATTGTCATTGATACACATGTAAATAAAGGTCTTCCATCTCTTAAGATTCCAATTTTTTTACTGATCCTTTTGCTCAGCGGGATTTTTAGGCTATAAAACTTCTAGGCCATAAAACTCTTCATTTCAGCTGATCAGGAATAATACAGGCTGGTTCCCCTTTTAGAAAAATGTTTTAAAGTGGCTGAGGTTCAGTCCTGCTCATTCTTCAAACAGTTGGCAATCATACAAGACAATATGATTTACAAAGTGATTGGGTGAAGATGTAGTCTCTCCTAGTGTGATGCATAGTCTTTTAATACTGCTTAATTTTATTTTATACTTACTATGTTCCACATGTAATCATTTAGCCTCTACAGAGTGCCTTGCAGTAGTTGGAGCCTGTTATTGATCCAGAAAGTGATACTAAGTTAAATAGAGAATATTATCCTATCTTTTCTTGACAGCTTAATATTTATGTACTTGTGTTTGGGGAGTCTAAATACCAAGAGAAAGGAGGCACTGGGTATGATCTCAGGGGATATAGTTAGGGGTAGTGGGGATGAAAAAATAAAATTAGGATAGATGTCATCAGTTAGTGAATGAAATCAAATAGGTTATAAAACCTATTGCCATATTATTTTAAATAAAGAAAAATGCTAACACTTTCAAGTGACTGCCAAAATGTATGTAAGTCTTTTTTTGTTTTCCTGTTATGTCACTGTGCTTTTAAATGTATGTTTACCATGCTATTTCAAACATAAGGGTTTCAAAGGGAGAGCAGCAGAAGGAACAATGTGGGAAAGACACTCATAATAATAATTTTGCTGTAGCTGCTTTTTTATTTTCATTAGCTGTCAGAATTACACCTTTGATTTATTGCCAGTAAAGCAACAGTATAAGAGCTTGCTGTTGGCACAGCTGTCATCTTCTATTCTGATTTTGCTTCTAGGTAGTTATTTTCAGTACTTCTGTGTTGTGGCTTGGGGTTTCTCATGTAATCTCTCAACAGATAAAAATACATCTATAATATGAATGGATGAATCTTGCTGATTATAGTATCATGCCCCAAATGCATCATTTTATGAAAAAGGAAGAATTATATCTCCTTCTTGTGCTAGCCCGCATCATTAAAAATTTGCTTTTTGCCCTTCAGCAACTGGTTTTCCTTTTCTTTTTTTGCTAGGTCAATGGCAGAGACTTGAAGGATTTGCGGCACAAGGATGCTGTGGAACTGTTCAGGAATGCAGGCTGTGATGTGTCTTTGAAAATTCAGCGCAGGGTAAGCTTTACCTGTTTCTTAGGGTTATTTCTGTCTCAGCTTAGACTGGTTTCTATGACTGATAGGTTTCTATATCATGAAGCAGAAAAATATGTCCAGGTGCTCAGTGTGAATTATACGTACAAGGATTTTATAGAATCATAGAATAGTTAGGGTTGGAAAGGACCCTAAGATCATCAAGTTCCAACCCCCCTGCCATGGGCAGGGACGCCTCACGCTAAACCATATCACCCAAGGCTTCATCCAGCCTGGTCTTAAACACTGCCAGGGATGGACCATTCACAACCTCTCTGGGCAGCCCATTCCAGTGCCTCACCACACTTACAGTAAAGAATTTCCTCCTTATATCCAATCTAAACTTCCCCTGTTTAAGTTTTAACCTGTTACCCCTTGTCCTACCACTAGTCCCTAGTGAAGAGTCCCTCCCCAGCATCCCTATAGGCCCCCTTCAGATACTGGAAGGCTGCTATGAGGTCTCCACGCAGCCTTCTCTTCTCCAGGCTGAACAGCCCCAACTTCCTCAGCCTCTCTTCATACGGGAGGTGCTCCAGTCCCCTGATCATCCTCGTGGCCCTTCTCTGGACTTGTTCCAACAGTTCCATGTCCTTTTTATGTTGAGGACACCAGAACTGCACACAATACTCCAGGTGAGGTCTCACGAGAGAGAGTAAAGGGGCAGGATCACCTCCTTCAACCTGCTGGTCACACTCCTTTTGATGCAGCCCAGGATACGGTTGGTTTTCTGGGCTGCAAGCGCAGGCTGCCACCTCATGTTCATTTTCTAATCGACCAGCACCCCCAAATCCTTCTCCACAGGGCTGCTCTGAATCTCTTCTCTGCCCAACCTGTAGCTGTGCCTGGGATTGCTCCAACCCAGGTGCAGGACCTTGCACTTGGCATGGTTAAACTTCATGAGGTTGGCATCAGCCCACCTCACAAGCGTGTCAAGGTCCCTCTGGATGGCATTCCTTCCCTCCAGCGTATCAACCAAACCACACAGCTTGGTGTCATCGGCAGACTTGCTGAGGGTTCACTCAATCCCTGTCCATGTCACCAACAAAGATGTTGAACAAGACCGGTCCCAACACCGATCCCTGAGGGACACCACTCATTACTGGTCTCCAGCTGGACACTGAGCCATTGACCACAACTGTTTGCGTGCCGCCATCCAGCCAGTTCTTTATCCACTGAGTGGTCCATCCATCAAGTTGATGTCTCTCCAATTTAGAGACAAGGATGTTGTGTGGGACAGTGTTGAACGCTTTGCACAAGTCCAGATAGATGACATCAACTGCTCTACCCCTGTCCATCAGTTCTGTAGCCCCACCATAGAAGGCCACCAAATTGGTCAGGCAGGATTTCCCCTTAGTGAAGCCATGGTGGCTGTCACCAAGCACCTTGTAGTTTTTCATGTGCCTTAGCATGCCTTCCAGGAGAATCTGCTCCAAGATTTTGCCAGGCATGGAGGTGAGACTGACTGGTCTGTAATTCCCTGGGTCATCCATTTTGCCCTTCTTGAAAATGGGGGTTATATTTCCCTTCTCCCAGTCATCGGGAACTTCACCTGACTGCCATTTTATTTGAACTGTAGCCTCTCTAGTTGACCACAGCTGTAATCATCCATGCATTACTTGTTTGTGTCAATATCGTGGAAGAGGTGAGTTTGGAGAACTCCCCAGGTCTTTGTTTTGCTGGAGTATGATGTGTTTTCTCAGACATCTCCTTACTCAGAGGCAAAGGTTTGTCTGTGAAGGCAAAATCTCAAGTTCTCCAGTTTTCCAGTTTTGTTTCAGAGGCCAAAATCTTACTGGAGGCAGAACTCCCCATTGTTTCAGTAGTCATCACTTAGGTTAGTGTCGAGATGTGTGTGCAGCCCACTAGTACAAGAAAGACATTAAGGTGCTGGAGCATGTCCAAAGAAGGGCAGTGAAGCTGGTCTAGAGACAAGCCTCATGAGGAGTGGCTGGGGGAATAGGGGTTGTTTGCTCTGGAGAAGAAAAGGCTCAGGGGGAGCCTTATCTCTCTTTACAACTTCCTGAAAGGAGGATGGAGAAAGGGGTTTGTCAGTCTTTTCTCCCAAGTAACAAGCAATAGGACAAGAGGAAATGGCCTCAGGTTGCACCAGGGGGGTTTAGATTGGGTATTAGAAAAAGTTTCTTCCCGAAAAGGGTTGTCAGGCATTGAAATGGGCTGCCCTGGGAATGGTCGAGTCACCACCCCTGGAGGTAATTAAAAGATGGGTAGATGGGGCACTTAGGGACATGGTTTAACAGTGGACCTGGCAGTGCTCGGTTAACAGTTGGATTCCATGATCTTTGAAGTCTTTTCCAGTCTAAATGATTCTATGAAATGTGGGCTTCTATAGTTTGAATATACTGGCATCATTTTGGATATAGAAAGAGAGGAATCCTTAATGCACTGTTGTAACTTGGAGCTAGCACAGAAGCTGACAAAGCCTGAAGCATGCTGGTGGGGAGAGGTGCATTGAGGCCCTTTTTCTGCTCCCTTAGTAAAGGAGTAAGTGTTCTGGACTAGCATACAGGGCAAGTACAAATAAAAAAACAGAGAATTAGTGATGTCCTTTTCCTTGTAAAGACATCAGGAAATGGTGTGGTGGGATGTGCATCAAGGGATGACTGGGAATATATGTCATTGCTTCTGCTGTATTAAATGTACCCAGCTCCAGCTGTTAGAGTGCTAGTTTACCAAGTGGCAGAGAAACATGAGGTGCCTGGTAGTGACTGGGAGCCCTGCAGTAAAGCTCAGTCAATCCAAAGCCATTCTAGCCCTCCCATGTGTGGAATGTACAGGTATGTGGGGAAAACATCATGCACATCCTCACAGAACCACCTGGTCCTGGCACAAAAGTGGGTGCTCTCCTGTGATGGGCTCTGACGCAAATACTTTTCTTTCCTTGTAGTTGCAGCCACAGAATGGCCCTGTGGGTCATCAAGGTGATGGAGAATCAGGTGGGCTTCCTCTAGCAGCCGTTCTTGTGCCAGGCCTGGCGCTTGCTGCGGCAGCAGTCTGGATCTTGCTGAGGTATCGACAGCGGATGTGAAGAGTTCACGTTTTGGATATCACTGCATATTTACACAGCTATGACGTAATTTAAAGATAGAGAATCAACGATCTTATCACAGACTGATGTCAAAGAGGATCACTGCCTATCATAAAGCTGCTGCTGATGTTCTCTATATATTGATTTTGTTGCAGGGTGAATGGAAGCAGAGAGGAAAAGGGGAAGGGAGATCACTCTGTTCACATATAGGGTGAGATAGCTGTTTTTTTGACTATCTGAGGAGGTTTTGACATCTCCCTCTATTTTGCACCATGAACTTTCAAACACTCATCTATATCATGTTTTAAGATGTGATTTGGTTAAACAGCATGGGGGTTGGGGTGGTTTTAAATCACAAACATTTACTAGAGGCTTTGCCTTGTTTCCACTGTATTTTTCTTGAAACTAATGAACCCTGTCTGAACCATGAATAAAGAGAAGCAACACAGAGGGTATATTATCTTTTTCACTGAATTTTTGTTGGTTGTTGCTAAATGAATACCTTAGGAGAAATGTACAAAATCCAATGTGTGGCTTCACAGTTAAAATCATCAGTGTAGCTGCTGATTTAACAGCAATGTTCTGTATTGATGAGGTATTCCACCAGTTCTAGGAAGACAAAAGATAGCCTGCTGATCGACTTCTCACTGTTGGGTCAGAGCTGTAAGAGAAAACTTTCCACAAAATGCTAGCATACTGGAGAGAGACCGGCAGACAATTGAAGCACAAGGGTAAGCAGTGGCAAGAGATTTGGGCATGCTGAAGCTGCAGAAGAATCCTTAAATTAGTAATGAGCAGTATTCCCTCCCTCCATCAAGTGGGTTGAAGTCTGCATTGCTCAGGTTAAAGGTCGGTTTTGGGGATTATTTTTTGTGTGGAGAATACTTCAAAAAAGTTTCCTGTAGCAGCTAACTTGCTCTCTGCAGTCAGAGAATCTTATGATGATTGAAAGGGAGAAGCCAAGAGAGAGTGGGATCATCTTGACTATTGCTTGTTTGTGAAGACTGATGTGATATTTGGGAGATAGACTGGCAGATGTGTGCCAGAGTAAGGCTTAGTGAATAAAACCAAAGGGAGAGACCCTTGCTCTGGAAAGCACATAGCTGAATTTACCTGCAGGGTCTCATCACTGTGATATGGATGCTTTTAAATGCCCCAGCTGACATGAGGTTTGTGGGGAAGACCTGTTTCCCTTGTTTCCAAGATATCAATGCGTTTTGTTGTTTTTTGTAAAAGAAAAGTATGATGACAAAAAGAAGAAAATACCATACGCAATATATATATTCAAACAAAGAAAATCTGGTGTCTCTGTTCTTTGTTATTCTAGCAGGACGTTGCTGATGTATTTGAAATTGTGTGATCGCTCAGGGCTGTATTCCTGTTGTCTGCTAGAGAAAAAAATGGTACGCTGTTACACATGACATTCCTAAATCACCATGGAGTTTCGGAGCACTTAGACCACATGAAATTTTGTTTTGGCCTATAAACTGCTCTAATGTAAGGGAGAGATGAAACTTACGGGAACAGACTTGAGGTTTGGTGAATGTATACTGGTGTTGGATGGCCTGGGCTGGTGCATGCAGTGACTTGCCTTGGCTGTCAAACTAGTTATGCCCGATAGCAGAAGGGCTGTTGTTCAGACAGATCTTTGCAGATGCCACATGAACCAACTTGCTTGTCTGTGACCTGCTCTGAATGTTTGGCTGTGGTGACCACATGGAGCACCTGTGTGGATTAAGATAAATGATTACAAGTCAGTGTTGTCGTGTCAGCCATCAGAATAAAGATACAGAAAGTATGAAGAAGGTCTGTCTGAGACAAGCCTTTGGCTAGCCCTTGTCTAAGCTGAGTTTCTCTGTAAGGGAATATGTGGAACAGGCTAGTAGGATGAGGATTCGCAGAAGGGAGTGGTTAGTCTCATGCATTTCCAATGGAAGTAAGCAGGGAAAGCAAAGCCTTTGAGTGATTTTGTGTTTTGGGTTTTTATTTTCAGCTTTGAGATTTTGATACTGTTCAGACATGATTGCCATCTATGCTGCAGGCAGTTTATTACAGAGGCAGGGTATCCAATGGCCAGATAATTGGCATAGCTTATTGAGCAAGAAAAGGCCCTTCTGGCGCATAGTGTTCCTTTGGATTTCTTTTCACAGTTACTGAGTACTTTTAATATCACAGCATAAACTCAGTGTCTTTTCCAGAAGTCTGAATAGTAGTTTTTACTCAGAATTTAAACCATCCAGTCTGACCCTCAGGAGCACCTTTCTGCATCTGCCGCCTTCAGACCAGTGCCTGAGTACCAGCACTCAATGCTCAGCCACCAGTCCCCAGCCACCTCTTGTCCCAGTTACTGACAAAGTCTTTGCTGAAAATATAGCTGAACCACAAACTTTGCTGTGAGCTGTGGCTCATATTACTCTCAGCAGCGGCACAGTCTCACCTGAACTTTGTGTGTTTCCAGAATCTTTTCAACTATGAAGTTTCTGTAGCCTTGAGTTTCATCTTCACGCTGAACAGTGTAGATGTATTGTCTGCAACTGTGAAAGAAGTGAATTAAAAATAAACCTAGCCAGGACAGCTGGTAAATGCAAGTGAGTTTTAGCTTTTGTTAAAACTTAAATCTGGGTTTTAGGGAAAAAGGTAAGTAGAAATTTTGAAGACAAACATAAAAAGCATTCTCACTGTAATTTGTAAGCTTGGTTTTTTTAAAGAGCTCATTTGCCATTAATACTGAGCACAGCTGGAACTCTTAAATCCCCATGTTTCTCTCCTATTTTCATCTGTTCCCTCAACCTTATTGTGAACTTAGTGACCTGCAGAAGCCTGGATTTACATGTGTGTGGTTTAAAGGCAAATCCATCTAGGTTGACCTCCTGTATATTATAGACATTTCTGTCTCTCAGAGTCTCCTGAATTATATGTGCTAATAATACATATTTGACTTAAGCATAGCAGTAAGAATGGCCAGACTTGATCTGGAGATAGGAAGATGCACCACTTCTGGCACATTTTATTAAAACAAACTAGAAAGGAGTGGGTGGGAGGGAATGGTGCCTTGCTTTCAGTTTGCCTTTAGGTTCCAACAACTGGTTTGTTAAGTTGTTCTGTGCTAGATTAAAGAGGCCTCTAATAACAGATAGTCTCTCCCTGTGAGGGGGTTTGTGTGTTGTAATTGTCTACCTCTCACATTATTTTTAAGAAATGAAGCCAACTGAGCCCCTAGATTCTCAGCGTAAGATACTTTGTGAGAAGTTTCTGCACCCTTTCCAGTGTTTCTGTATTACTTTGTAAAATCCAGACACCCATGTGTGGAATCTTGCTATTGAGCATGCCAATGCCATATGGAGTTTTCCATTTAATTTTTATCTGCAGACCCTTCCGTCTTCTTTTGGTGAAGGTGCAGACACGTGCAAAGGGAATTTAAGTCAGCTCTTAAAAGCTGTCTTTTTTCAACTTAGAAATCTCTTAGAAGTGCTATACAGCTTTCCCCTCTTCATTTGGTTTCTCAAGTGCCCTAAGGAACCTGTAAACCACAAAATAAATACCATTGCCACATGAGAGGCAAATTCTCTTAATTCCAGGTAGTAGATCAAAAGAGCAATCCCTTTCTGTAATAGTGTGACATGAGATGAGTGTTAGGTGCCTGTATATTCTAACTTCTGAATCCTTGTCCAGACCCAGTGTGACCTCCGTGGTGTGGGTGAAGGTGTCTGACTTTGTATTTTGTTGAATGACTTGCATCTCCTGTTTGTGTCAGCTGTGCGCACTTATGGGCCCAGATGACTCTTCTCTCTGCCTTGTCTGCTGTAATATTTACCACTCCCTTATCCTGACTGGTTTTGTCTTTTACCAGATCATTGGTGAAAACCCTGGAGTTTGGTAGAGAGGCAACTTTCCCCGTGTTTATGATTTTTCAGTAACTGCTGGTATCTCCCGGTTATTGGATTCTTTGTCTAACGGATGCATTCTTTTAGTGTATAGCACTGATACAAAGAAAAAATAAATCCATTTATCAGAATGTGAAGTAGATTACAGCTGACTGGTCAGTGAGCTTCATCTGTTCTCTTCCTGGAAGAAGCTGATGCAGGTCAGGTGAGCTTTATGGGGCAGTCTTCCTCCCATGCTCTTTCCTAATTTATTGATGTGGATTTTGCATCTAGAAGTCATTTTCCTCTACTCAGGTTGAAGGAAAGAGCAGATAGCTTTACAGTGTCCCACCAGCTGGGGGCCCAAGGAAAGGGTTATGTGGTGAAGTCTGAAGGAGAGCCTTAACTGTACTCTTGTCCTCAGGGTTTTCCTCATGATTAGCTTCTGGCAGACTCATGCTGCATCTGTGCTGCTGTGCTTGGTGTATGTCATCTATGGAGCTCTGCTGTGTCTCTTCCCCATGTGCAGCTGAGGCAGACTCCAGGTCTTTCAAAGCTTCCTTGAAGAAGGATCCACATATGATGAGAATGTTCATGAGTTTAAATGAAAAGCAATGTTGCGCAGA